TGCAGCGGAAACATATATAGACTCATAGACTTTAAGGTCAGAAGGGACCATTATGATCATCTAGTCTGACCTCCTGCACAATGCAGGCCACAGAATCTCACCCACCCACTCCTGTAACAAACCCCTAACCTATGTCTGAGTTATTGCAGTCCTCAAATTGTGGTTTAAAGACCTCAAGGTGCAGAGAATCCTCCAGCAAGTGACCCGTGCCCATGCTCCACACTGCAGAGGAAGGCGAAAAACCTTCAGGGCCTCTGCCAATCTGCCCTGGAGGAAAATTCCATCCCGACCCCAAATATGGCGATCGGTATATGTATTCCTTTGTAAAAGTTAGTCCATTCCAGGTGTTGTGTGATTCCTAGTTTATAGCTTCATGTTTGTCAGTGGGAGTCCCTGTGATAGCAGCGACCTGGATTAGGAGAAGCAGATCATGGCTGACCATTGTGCCAAGAAATGTATGGGGCTTAAAGATGCAGGAGGTTTCCTGATTAGGCCTCTTTGGATCAACACAGTACTCCCCTTTACAGGACAGAATGTCAGCCTTGCCATTCCAGGATCCCAGCCAGTAGGAGATAAAGTCAAAATGGGGAAAGTATAGAACCCACTGAAGCTGCCCCTGGTTGAGAGTTTTGGCCCTGTGTAAGTACTCCAAGCTGTTATCATTGGCATAAACCTGAACTAGATATCAAACTCCTTCAAGGTAGTGGTACCACTCCTCAAAGATTCCTTTAATCACCAGAAGTTCCTTGTCTAATATTTTGCTCCCCAGGAGTAAGCTTCCAAGAATAGAAGGTGCATGGATGTAGCACCTTCTGGGGACTGTGCCAGTGGGAGAGCACCACTCTGATGGTCACATTAGAGGCATAAGCTTATGTGGTATCAGGGTGGGCCAATACGGGAGTGGTAGTGAATGTGAGCTTTAGTTGCTCAAAGGCATGCTGGGCCTCCAGAGACCAAAGGAACTTGGTGTTCTTATGGAGCAGATTGAGAAGGGGTGAAACTTGCTCAGTGTACCTTGGAATAAACTATGGTAAAAGTTCACAAAGCCCAAGAACCGTTGGTGTTGCACAATTGCAAACCAGTTCTTCCTTTTTACAGGTCAATTTTGAAACTCTCTGGAGACAGACTAATCCCCAGAAATTCTACGGCGGCACGGTCAAAAGCACACTTCTCCAAAGAGGCATAAAAGACATGTTGGCAAAGTCTCTCCAGAAGGGTTCAGACATGTATGGTATATTGCTCAGGACAGTTCAAGAAAACAAGTATATCATCATGACATACTACCACATACTGGTCCAGGATGTCCAGAAATACATAATTGATGAGATTTTGGAATGTGGCAGGGGAGTTCATTAGACTGAATGGCATTATGAGGTACTTGAAATGGCTGTAGCAGTTCCAAAAAGAGATCTTCCACCCAGGGGTGGCAAACTGCGGGGGGCGGCCTGCCGGTCGCCGTGAGGGCAGCAGTCAGACTGCCTTTGGCGGCATGCCTGCGGGAGGTCCGCCGGTCTCGCGGTTTCAGCGGCAATTCGGCGGTGGGTAAGCCAAAGGCGCGGGACCGGCGGACCTCCCGCAGGCATGCCGCCGAAAGCCGCCTGACTGCCGTGCTTGGGGCGGCAAAATACATAGAGCCGCCCCTGGTTCCACCCATCTCCCACTCTGATACATATGAGGTTATATGCTCTCTGGAGGTCCAGTTCCATGAATATTCAAATGGCTCCCACATGACCCAACAGTTTGGGGTGCAGGAGTAGAAGGGTATCTATTCCTTATAGTTATCTGGTTCAAAACAGAGGCAGAGATGGCCATCTTTATGTTTGCTTTTGTTTTTTTTTAAAAGAGGACAGGTGCCCTGGTGAGCAAGTGGATTGACAAACAAGTTCTCCTGGAGATACCTGCTTAGAATGACCAACTCAGGCTCTGACATGGCATAAACGTGGTCAAACAAAATCTTCACCCCTGGTTGCAAGTCTATAAGGCACTTGTGGAGACAGGGAATCAGCGTTTTTCTTTTTGAATACATCAGCAAAGTCACTATATTTAAAAGGGAGTTAGGGTGCAGAATCAGCGACAGACCTGGCAGGTCAGTCACCTCCATTGGAGTCCCACCAAGGAGAGGTACATGACCCCACACCTTCTTTAACAAGGCAATGCTGTTGGCAAATTTCTGAGAGAAAACTGACCCTTTGCTCCTGCCAATGGACAAGAGGGTTGTGGACGGTCAGCCAGAAGATGCCTAGGCTCAGGAGAAAGTACTGTGTGTGGATCACATGAAATTGCAGCATTTCCCAGTGCTGAACCTCGAAAGATACAGTTTCTATGCTCAGCAGCCCTGAGGATAGGTAGCACCCATCAGTTATGTCTCCCAGGTCCAGGGCAGACTGGGACTATCAACATATCCATAAAGTTATCAGCTGCACGTGTGTCAATGAGGGCCCACTGCACAGGAAGACATCTGGACTGTCCAGAAATATGTAATCAGGTCAGTACTTGAAGGCCTGGAGTCAACTGGCAGGACCCAGTGCGTGTTCTGATCAAGACTGGGGCTGGAGACTTGATGGTATATGCTGTTGTGATGCCCAAGCCAGCCCTCACTTACCAAGCCTTGGCTGGCTTGTTTCCTGTCTCTTTTTGGGCTGGGTTCTGAATAAGGCAGATGGAGAGACCTGGGAAGGGAGGAAGAGGGTCACTGTACTCTGCTGCATGGGCCATGCTTTGAACTAGAGTAAATGGTGTATTCGCTGTAACATGAAATCTTTAAATCAAGTTTTGAAGACTTCAGGTAACTCAGCCAGAGATTATGGGCCTATTGGAGGAGTGGATGGGTGAGGTTCTGCAGCCTGCAATGTGCAGGAGGTTAAACTAGATGATCATGATGGTCTCTTCTGGCCTAAAAGTCTATGAGTTTCTGAGATGGGGTGGCCTAGAAGCAAAGGTTGAGGTGTCGTCATTGTTCCTTTCCCTCAAGGTTAAGTTATCGACAAGCCTGGTCTACTGGCATCAGAGCAGTATGCTGAGCAGGGTTTAACAGCAGGGGCCATGGGCTAGGTGGCTGTGACAACCCTCTTTTCCTGCCGCTCACATAAACAATTGTCGATCTAAATAGTGAGGTCAATGAAGGCATCCACACCTGTTGGGTTTCTACTTGAGCCAGCTTGTCCTTAACCTCCTCTTGTAGGCCTCATCCGATTTGTTACAGCTGGGCCACTTTGTTCCACTCAGTGTCTGATATGAGTTGACAGAAATGCACCATGTAGCGGGAGGCAGCTGTGCCTTGCCCTCACTGGAGTTTTCATAGGGAAGACTTGGCCGAGGAGCCACGATAGGGGTTGTCAAAGATAGTCAAGCTCGACCCTAGGAAGGCATTCCAGTTGGCTTGTACTAGACTGTCATCTCTAGTAAATGGAAGGCCTAGGCCTATGCTTCCCCAGTCAACAGGCTAATTACCAGGCCTACCTTGGCCTCATTGGAAAAGTAAACTTGCAGGTGAAGTAGGAACAGGAAGCAGCAGTGGTTCATGAGACCTTGGACTCTCTGATGGTTCTGGCAGCGGAATCACAGGTCTTGGATCAATGCTGCAGGCCAGGTCCAAAGTGCAGATTTCTCAGTGCAAAGCTGAAGTACTTGTTCCTGTAACATCTGGTTCTCGGTTGGCAGCTGTGTAATTTGGGTCTGCATCGCTTGGATGTCTGCCTGCTGGCAGGCTTCCTGCTTTGGTGATTCTGGCACGCATGCAGTGGGAGAGCTCTTCGGCTTGCATCTTTCCCAGAAGAGTCAACCCTGGGAGGCTAAAGGTCCATGCAAACTGTTAGGGATCGGAATGTGGACAGTCTGACCTAGTGGTCAGAGCAGGAGTCAGGAGCCAGCAAACAGAGCCTAGGGTCAGAACCAGAGGCAGACACCAGATACCAGAGTCAAGGATCAAGCTGGAATCAGAGCCAGGAATCAGAGCCAAAGGTCAGAACTGGAGTCAGAGGCTGAATACCAGGGCCTAGGGTCAGAGCTGGAGTGTAAGAACAGGGGCAGGGATCAGGAACACAGTAAGAAGGCAAGAACCAGTCAGGGAATCAGGGCTCAGGAGTCAGGTGAGAAGGCAGGGTCCAGTGTAGCAGCCAGCCAGAAACTCACCCAGTTGCCCAGACAACTTCCTGTGCCTCTTTCTGGCTTACGTAGAAGAGCCAGACTCATCCGTGGGAGCACGCACTCCTTCAGTCAGGACTCCTGGGGGTGGTGCCTCTGGTGGGTCTAGGCTCCATTAACCACTCAGCCTAGCAGCTACTAGCATGCTGCTGGATCACAGCTGGGCTATCAGGGTTGCCTGTGGACCTGGGTTCGAGAACCATGATTTTTTATAATGCCAATCATAGCTAAATGTATCATAAAAAAAGTTCTTCTGCTCTACCAACACATCACACGATGGGATATATAATGACATAATTAAATGTACCATGGGATTATATTCCTTTCAAAATCTTTAGTACACAGTTAGGGCCAGATTCTGCAACCCTTACTCACATCGAGTTGCACTTGATTCCATCAGCATTCCCTTTTCAATCAAAAGAACTAAACACAAAGGGCCAGATTCTGCTATCCTCACTCCATGCCTTTCCATGCAAACCGTCTCACTGAAGTCACTGGGACCACTCAGAGAGTAAGGTATTACTCAATACAAGTAAGGGAGCAGAATCTGGTCAGGAGCAAGTTACTACTCAAGATGAATATGGGTGGCAGAATCTAGCCTTTCTAATCAATATTGTACACCCAACAGCATATTTCCATTACAAAACAAATAAAGCAGTAAAGTTAATGTTGATGGCTAGTGTCCATAAAGTGCGGTGATACGGAGTGGTGGATTATATAATGTACAAGTCCAGCATACAAGTCTACATATATTGAGTCCCATGAGTTTGTTTTAAAATCTGTATGTGTCAGTTGTACAAGCATACAGTACTTATCACATCATTAGCACATATATCACTGAAAGGAAAAGTCTTAAATTTTGACTTATAGAATGTTTTATTTAGAGAGGCTTTTCTCATCATTGTATATTTATTCTTCATTAAGGCAATTTCGCAGGGGGAAAGAATGTGCATTAAGGCAAAACTCACTTCTTTTGCATTTGAACTACAGTAGAATGCACTTAATGAGCATAACAATGAATACCACATGCCAAAGAATAGATTCAGTGCAATGTATTTCAATTATTCTAAACAGATAGGGCTAGATCCTCAGCTAGAGTAAACTGACAGAGCTATGTTGAAGTCAATGTGGGCTATGCTTTTTTACCCCAGTTGAGGAAATGGGCCCCAATTCCGTAAAGCACTTAAGCATGTGCCTAATTAAGATAAGTACATGCTGAATTGCCTTGCTTAATCAGGGCCCTGGCCCCTTGTGTGTTCAGTAGCATACCTTGTATTGTCTGCAAGCCTGTTCAAAGTTGTTAGCAGGGCTGAATTATTGTTTGATAAATAAATCTGTCACTATGTGGCCTTATGTTCACTTCACTCTGGTCCCAGCTGTATTGTTGCTACTACGTGAGTAGACCTCTCCTTAAGTTCTTTAGCACAGATTTCATTTTAAGGATGTTCTTGCTGTGTTTTAAAGCATGTCATGAAATAAAAATGAATGATAATCTTGCACAACATGGGCTGTGAAGGTCTCACAGAATTAGGATGCTCTGAGGGCCAGACTTTTATTCAATGATTAATGTCATATTCTGCAAGTAATGCCACTGATAGCACTGGGACTACTCGTGGTGTAAAGTACTACTTAGTCTGAATAAGGGTGCCACAATAAGGTCCTTAATTAGCACTTTTGTTGCCACAAGAGTTTCCCAACAGAGTGGATTTTACTATCACTGAAAAATAAACACTGATAAGGACACTATGCAGTACCTGCATTGGCTTAAGGAAATCTCTTTTGTAGTTCCAGGTACAAGCTGAAGGAAAGCATAGCGTAAATGTTACAAGCATGAACACCTATAAGAGAGTTAATGTAACATTTCACAATCCTGAAAAAGGTGTATAACCTAATCCTGCTCCCAAAACAAATATGCCAGGTGATCTCCAGACAATGACCTGGACAGCCATTAATATCAGCACATGTAAAGCTCGTGTTGTTTGGAAACATATTCAGGAAGCAGAAAAGGCTACATCTAGCAAAGGGGATAATGTGGCAAAGAAATCAAGCACATTGCTGTTCCATACAGAACATGGTAGATTGTTTTGCTGGATATGCATGTCATCTTTTGTACGATTTGGAACCTTGTCTAGCATTCATGCTTTGGAAAGTACCAAGACAGCATATTTCCTTGATATCTGAGTCTGAGGAACGTCCGGTCTGAGGGAGTCAGGGGGCATATACCAGTCATGAATATCAGTCTTTTATGGCTTAAACTTTCTTCATTCCTTTTCCCATAAGGCAAGCAAACACAGTCATGACCATTTTGGGTTTTACTTCAACCAGGTCTTCTGGAAGGGCATAGACTCTTGCTCCAATTTTTCTTGCCATGGAGATGGCATATCTACATTGGGGGGAAAAATTAAAAGAAATGTAAGAAGCAACCTTAGTAATCAATTTGTTTAACAACTTCTTGTGCTTCATACAGATAAACAGTAGATTGGAGGTGAGTTCAACAGTGACAGAGAATGGGGGAGTGCACAAGGTTTCAGATGAAAGATCATGAGTTTGGTTTGAACTATATTAAATTTAAGCAACAAAGAGTCCTGTGGCACCTTATAGACTAACAGACGTATTGAAGCATAAGCATGCATCTGACGAAGTGGGTATTCACCCACGAAAGCTTATGTTCCAATACATCTGTTAGTCTATAAGGTGCCACAGGACTTGTTGTTGCTTTTTACAGATCCAGACTAACATGGCTACCCCTCTGATAATTAAATTTAAGGTGGTGGCAAGATGTCCAGATCCAGATGTTGGAGAGTGAAGCCAAGATTCAAGATTAGACGGATGGAGACAGACCAGAAGTAGAAAGGTAGATTTGTGAGGTGTTGGCATATGGATAGTAGTAAAGTGTTATGAGTTGATGAGTTCACCCAGATATAGAAGGTAGAGTAAGAAGAGGAGGGAACAGAGACCTGTGGGACTCACATGGGCTGTAGCAGGAGGGAGGAAGATGATACACCAGAAGAAATGCAAAAAGAATGGCCAGGGAGAACAAGTGTTGGAAAAGTCAAGGGAGGATAAGCTGGGAAGCAGGAGAGAATGATCTGCAGTGTCAAAAGCAGCAGGACAGGTCAAAGAAGATGAGAATGGCCTTGGGACCCTGAGATTTGGCATAAGACTGAGGTATGAGCAGTTTCAGTGGAGCAGAGAGGCTGGAAGCCAAACCAGAAAGGACTGAAGATGGATTAGAGGTACGTGAGGCAACAATTGAAGACAGGGTATTCAATAAGCTTCTCTCTATCTACGGACTATTATGGCCCCCCCATCACTATCATATCTGAGTGCCTCCAAACACTAGGGAAGAAGTGAATCCATTAGGCAGTAGTTATAGGTGAGGTTAAAGGACAGGAGATAGCAAAGCACATATCTATTGTGAGAGGAAGGAGTCAGAGGTGAGGGTGATATTCCTAGAATACTTTTGGGTTCCTGTTTTAAATAAGTAAAGTTTATTAATGCTACATAAAGAGAAAAATTCTCAGCCAGTCCCTTCCCTGATTTATGCCTGCTGCAATCACTTTGACTTCAGTGAGGCTGCATAGGTCCTTTATTGCCAGCTGGAGTTTTCCTTTGGTGAAGAGACTTGACAGATCAGGAAAGGAAGTGCTGAATTTCAGGTATTTTGTTTTAAAATGGAAATATATCTGTGATTAAGTCCACTCTTGTAGTATAGCAGTTCCCATCCTGAGGCCCATAGGAGCACTGGTGACCTGCAGAGAAGAGGCTGGTCAGATGGTGCTGGCTCTCACCTGTCTTTCCAGTCACTTCTACTAGTGTGTAGGCACTTCACCACAAAGAATATAAACCTACAAATCAGCTGGAAGCAAGAAAGAAGAGCCAACCTAGCTGCCTTTACCAGGGTGCTGCTACAGAGGAGGGGGATAGCAAACAGGAGCTGCCCTCACGGCCTGGATTCGCCAGTGGGACTGGAGCTGCCAGCCACCAGAGTGAGAAAGGGCTGGGGCAATATGTTGAGGGCAGCAGAGGAGAAAGAAACTAAACAGCCAGGATGCATGTGAAGGAGAAGAGAAGTAGGTAACAGGGAAACATGAGCATGAGGAGAGGGGGAGAAAGGGGCCATGTGAAGAAAGACAAGTGCAGGAAGCAGTGAAAGGAACAGAACAGTTGGGAGGGGGAGATGAAATATACATTAAAAGCAGACAGTATGATTAGCTTTTTTTTCAAAAAGAACAAACAGTGTAATGTAACCCTAGTGTCCCATGGCATGCACATACTTAGCATTATTAAGTTTCTCTTCCTCATTCAAGTCCTCTGTTTTCAGAAGGTCGTATTTGATGGAACCTGGCTGAATGGCATCAATGAGATCCAGGACTGGCATGCTTGTGCTGATTTTGCTGTCCTGCACAGAGGGAAAATACAGTTGGATATAAACACAGATTGACAGATGTCCTACAAAGCCATAATCATGGCTCAAGGACAGTGGATGGGTCATTCAAATGACATACTGTTTAGAACTTTGCAACAAGCAGCACAGCGGGTGCTGAGACATGGAATGAGTCACCAGGATTCCACCTTGTCCCTCCAACCAGCCAGGAGGTGAGCAGAAGAAGAGAAAGGTGACATGGAGTCAAAAGGTGCTGCAATGGTCACACAATAACCCTGGCATGGTTATCTTGCTGCTGCATTGCAATATATGTGTCACAATGTTATTATATCTATAGCAGGGGTGCCAGAACGGGGAGGCAAGCCCTCTGCCCTTCTTCTTCCCCCTGAGACCCCGCCCCCAGCCAGCCAGAAGCTGGAGCCTGACCTGGGTAAGAGTGGCCCAGAGAGTCCGGGCAGCTGTGGGGGGAGCCAGGGACCCTCCACCTGTCTGGGATTGGGCGGCCTGAGAGCAGCCCCCAGCCCATGTCCGCGCAGGGCAGATGGAAGGTCTGCAGCTCCCCACAGCTGCCCCGGTGGCTCTTACCATGGCCTGGCTGCAGTTCTTCAGCCCCCAAGGCCCCACCCCCAGGCCAGGCTGTAAGCTGGAGCTGGATCGGGATAAGAGCCACGCAGGCAGCTGTGGGGAGCTGCGGAAACTCCACCTGTCCTGGGCAGAGGGCCCGGGGGGCAGGAACATGGGCTGAGGGTTGCTCTTAGGCCCCCCCACCTTGGGCAGGTGGAGGGTCCTGGGCTTCCTGACTCAGCTACAGCTTTTGGCTTGGCTGGAGGACCGGGGGCTCAGAGGGAAAAGGAGGGGTGGGGCCACGGAGGGGGCGGGGCTGTGTTCTCCCCCGCCACACACACACTTTTAGGAAGAATCCATTGCCCCTGATCTACAGGCAATGATTTTGTGTCACAAAAATTGAACGCCATGAACAACTATGACCACAGAATGCCAAGGCATTGCGTGAGACAAGGTGGGTGAGGAAACATCTTTTATTGGACCAACTTCTGCTGGTGAGAGAGTCAAACTTTCGAGCCACACAGAGCTCTTCTTCAGGTCTGGGAAAGGAACTCCCAGCCTCACCAGACTCCTCTCCCAGACCTGAAGAAGAGCTCTGTATGGCTCGAAAGCTCTTCTCCCTCCCCAACAGAAGTTGGTCCGGTAAAAGATGTTACCTCACCCACCCTGTCTCTGTAATATCCTGGCACCGATACGGCTACAACTGCGCTATACAAGACACTACTGTACAATTCACTGCCTCACTACAACCCCATTCACTGATGAAGTGACTTTCCAGCTGTGTGAGGCTGACCATGACTGGCAGAGATTAAAACTCTCATTATCACCTCACTTAGCATAAAGGTCCTTTTGGGATGGATCCAAGCAGGGTATAAAGCTTCAGGTTTTGAATGTCATAAATGCAGTAATTTTTAAAAAAGCTTTAGAGATGAGCCTGAACCGAACCCCCAGATCTGAACATCCCTTGAAAATGCAGTGAAAAATAAACAACAGTACACACATGTACCCACCCGGGGTCCCAAAACAGAGACTTATCATGAAATACTGTACCTTGAAACTACTGATGACTGAACTTTTTCCAGCTTCAGTCAGTGTTTCATTTACCCAGTTGACAATGAGGTCGTCATTGACCTTCTGTCCACCACCAATATCTTCCAGGATACTCAGAGTGTACCTTAACACAGAGGACAAAATGCTGTCTACTACTTCATGCTTTATAAAAAGCTTGGCATTGTAGCATAGTGTATCTGTGAAACCTGACAAGGGCCAAATGCTGCAGTCTTCACTCACACTTGATTCTGTTCCCTCATGGTATGTTAACTTATACAAAGTTCAGGGCTGATTCTCATTTACAGTATGGCCCCTTAACACTGCTCTGGCAGCATCAAGGGGCTTCAGAATAGGTACAAATTACATTTACTCCCATGTGCTAAGGAGGCCCTTTTATATGGCTTGAGTGGTGCAAAGGAGACTCAGGCCCACAGTATCTACAAATCATAATAGATGTGTCGATTTTAGGGCCCGAAAGGACCATTGTGATCATCTAGTCTGACTTGCTACATAACATGGGCCATAGAACCTCACCCCGAGATTCAAGCCAAACACTTCAGTTTGTGCTAGAGCCTAGCTTTCAGAAAAACACCCAGTCTTGACTTACAGACTGTAAGGGATGGAAAATCCATGACATCCCTAAAGGATCTAACAAGGTGTTTCCATAACAGAAAGCAAAGATCAGGACTTCTAACCACTGTTTCAGCCCTTGACCTTCCAATGTTTTCTCTCTCTCCTTTCTTGGTGCAAAGACCTGCCTTTTAATTATGGTCTGTGGAGGGCCAGGAACACTTATGGTGCAATACAGACAGTAGGAATAATAATAATGGTATTGATCCTCCTGTGCAGTGGTGAGTGCTGGCACCCCATTTCCATGGAATCTCTCCATACCAGAACAGCAGTATGTATATGTTCAACTAGCGTACCTTCTCATTAACTGCCAGATCAAGGCCAGGGTTAGTGTGCGATTTCCTTCATTGAGATCCTGCCCAGCAATTCCAACGAGGGAAAACTTGGCTTGATTCTTTCCCAGATCCACTGCGTAGTTGCAGTTTTCAAGCTGTTAATGACAGAGTCAGTTAGTGTGCTTCGTAAATGTGAAACAGTTGCTGTTCAGGGCATTCATGCTATCTTTAATTGTTACAGGGAACTTAGGCCAGATCCTGCCAATGGATCCAGGCAGCAGCTCCATCCAATGGGGGTCAATGTGGGTACAGAGGTTTGGCTGTTTTAGGATCTGGCCCTTAGATTCTATGAGGATAGGCAGCTTAGACAAATCTAACATAGAAATGCTAGTGTATATCATCAAAGCCTAAATGCCATCACACAGACCAGGAAATATGGAGACACAATGTACAGCATTGTGCAATCATGCCCACCTCCAGCAGCGCAGAGTGATTGTGTGGGACAATAACTGAGGTTTTCAGTCCCTAAGTATTAATGTTTTCGGTCCTTTAGTCATCTTGTGCTGCTTCACTCACAAATAGTATGGGAATGTTCCGGACCAAAATTCCTCACTGTGGTAGAGCTGGGAGAAAGCTGGGTAGTTAGTGGAGATTCAGAGGGGAACTCTTAGCCAGCTTGTCAGGTATCTGTGTCAGGAATGTTTAAAATCTGCTTATTTCTTTCATGTGGTGGAGGTGATCTGGAGGGCTGGAATTAATGTGGGTGTCACATGACTCATCCTGGACATATATCGGGACTTGTGATTAGAGCGAATTGGATAGTGGGGAAAATTATTCACTAATACATTTTTAAAGATTGATAGAAAAATGTCAAGTTTCTTGATGTCACAAATAATGTTTGACCATCCATCCAGCTTGTGAAACATTGTTGAATTTATTAGGAAACTCATGGAAAGTAGACACTGATTAGACTATAAAAATATAATTTGGTTGGATCTACTTATGACTTGAGAACAATGTCTGCTGGCACATGCAAGTCCCTACACAGACATTTTTAAGCACAATCATCTGTCACATGCAGATGCTACATGCTATTGTTTGCACTCGAAAGAATACAGATGCAAGTGTCTGTAGGTGCAAAATTACATACACACAAAAGGAGGCCAGATTGACAATTCTTTGAAAATGTAACCCACAGTAACAAAGGCAAATCAGACTTTACACTTTGTAATTTGTTGATTAAGGACTCAGTTCCATTTTCAAACATGTGCATAGTCAATCTGTAATGAATGGGGCTATGTATGGGTCTATTGCTCTCTATGGGATTGTCTACACTGGCCCGCTAAATCAGCGCCACTGCAATCAATGCAGTGGCGTCAATTTAGTGGGTCTGGTGAAGACGTGATAAGTCAATGGGAGATTGCTCTCCCTGAGAGGCAGAAGAGTTAGGTTGATGTAAGCTTTTTTCACCCCCCCTCTCCCTGAGCGATGTAACTTACATCGACTTAAGCAGTAGTGTAGATGAAATGGAATAGATAACCTCATAAGAACCATGCCAATTTGTTTTACCTTCTTCATGTTACCACCCAGCTTAGGGTATGGTGGTTTGTTCACTCTGCTCCAGTCTACCGGCACTTTAATCTTTTCATAAAGCTGGAAGATAACCATGGCATCTGACAGGTCACTGAAACAATGGAAACATATTGTGACTTACAATGTGAGCAAGGAATCCAGTTGATTTAGTTGGGGATTGGTCCTGCTTTGAGCAGGGGGTTGGACTAGATGACCTCCTGAGGTCCCTTCCAACCCTGATATTCTATGATTCTAATTTAAGCATTAGTAGAACGAATCACATTTTCCTAAAGAATGAAACAGAGGCATCTGTTTTCATAAGGACTAGCAATGTGTTCATGTTTTCTAGAAATACTTTTTTCTTAAGATGTAGATCACATTAGTCATCTAAAGGAAGGATAACTTTCCTTACCTATATAAATGATTGACACGGGGACTAACACCCAAGGAGTTCATCCAGTTCCTAAATGTCCTCTCTTCCCTTGTTTCACCTAAAATAACAGAATATCAATCAACAGATCCTCAAGACAACACTTCAGTGAAATAAACTTTTTACAACAAGGAAAATATAAATGCAGATTTTACTATATGCTAAAATGACATGTAGAATGAGATATCAACAGGCAGTGAAATACAAGAGTACAGAACAGAAGGTAATGTTCTGTACATACCATATGCACTGTCATATTTGAGCAGATTGTTCTCAAACTTACTTAAGAAATTCAACTTTAGTCCGTGTTGAATCATGAGACATTTCAGCATGAGCTTTGTGAGAAAGTCAGAAGCAATTGAAAATACAGATTTATGATGAGTTGCTGTCTGCAGTCACACCACATAAGAGATTGATCTTGTATGGAGCTGAGCATTCTTCCTCAATCCAGCAAAGCACTTACTTAACTTTAAGCACACACAAAAATCTCATTGACTTCAATAGGACTACTCATAAGAACATATAAGAACATAAGAACGGCCATACTGGGTCAGACCAATGGTCCATCTAGCTCAGTGTCCTGTCTTCCGACAGTGGCCAATGCTAGGTGCCCCAGAGGGAATGAACAGAACAGGTAATCATCAAGTGATCCATCCCATGTTGCCCATTCCCATCTTCTGGCAAACAGAGGTTAGGGACACTTCAGGGCATGGTTTTGCATCCCTGCCCATCCTGGCTAATAGCCATTGTTGGACCTATCCTCCATGAACTTATCTAGTTCTTTTTTGAACCCTGTTATAGTCTTGGCCTTCACAGCATCCTCTGGCAAAGAGTTCCACAGGTTGACTGTGCAGTGTGTGAAGAAATTCATATGCTTATGCTTAGTTTTGAGCACACAATTTAGGTTTTTTGCTGCACTGGGCTAGAAAGATCAGCACTTTGCAAAACTGCGCTGCTACTGCAGACTGGTGAAATTGCATTTAAAGAACTCCTTAGTTGTTGTTGTTGTTGTTGTCAGCTACACAACAATATTTAATAGAAGTGTCACACTGAGCATGTGCAAAAGCCTGCTTTTCATTGATTATAATTTACCTATATTTTAGAATTCTTCAAAAAGCTATCAGTGACTGTTGCTGATTGATGCAAAGTTGAAAGTTTTGCATTCAGATGTTTGTGAGTTATTTGTGCATAGAAAAAGTCTCTAAAATATTAGCAAAGAGGGAAAATTATACTTTTTTTCTGCTCATTTAACTTAAACATCTCCAAGCAGAACCTCCTCCCAGAAAAATTCAACTTTGGGCTGAGACCAAGCAGGAAGTTTCAGTCCAAAAATTTTTTAGGAGGTTTACATACAAAGGAAATAAGTTTATAATGGACATTTCCAAGTTGTCATATTGGATAAAAGAACTAAGGTCAGCTCACAATAACTGTAAGCCACACAGATACTGAAGTCATTCAAGTCAATAAGCTTAGGTGGCTCTAGTGCCACAGAAGACAAGAACTCACTTTGCTCAGAAAGGAGATCTGATGTGCAACAAAGCAAACTGTGCCTTTCTCATAACTCCATAAGAGATTTGTCTAGACTAGAGTTTTTGCTCTTGTTTTAACTTAGCTGTTTGTTAGTTAAATCAAGTTAATTGACAAATACAATTGTAAATGCTAGTTCAGACATCCCATAAATGTTTGTTCCAGGACACAAAACTGGAACAACCATTTGTGGAGTCATAGAATTGTAGGACTGGAAGGGACCTCAAGTGGTCATCTAGTCCAGTCCCCTGCACTCATGGCAGGACTAAGTATTATCTAGACCATCCTTGACAGGTGTTTGTCTAACCCTGCTCTTAGAAATCTCCAATGATGGAGATTCCACAACCTCCCTAGTCAATTAATTCTAATTTAACAGGACCACGAATTCTAGTCTAGACAAACCAAGGAGGCATAAAGCCACAGTGCATTCAAACAAATACACCTACAGTGAAGGGAGCCAACTATATCTGAAGCCACATGCAAGTAACACACAGCAATATCCCATCCTCAAACCTGCCTTGGCTAATGTTGCAGTAAGTACATGGCAGGAGAAAGTTGAGCTAACAGCTGAATTACCCAACCAGGTCTCAATTACATGTTAAAAGTCAGAGGCCTCAGTTGGATGCCAATTCTTATTTGTATTTTCCTTACCTTCAATAGAACTCCAGTCAATGTCCTGGTTCTCTGGTTTTTGGAGGGCAGGATATCTGTTAAAAAGGTTGGCAATGAAAGCCAAGTTTAACTTGGGGTTGCCACGGACTACATCTGTGGCAGTAACAAACTGCCGGCAGCCCAATCTCTCTGCTTGCTGCAACATGCACTCTGCCCTCTGGATGTCATCCTTCTCCTAAGAGATATCAAACGCGTCAGTCAGCAAAAACATGAAAATATGTTGACATCCAATAGCACTGAAATATCACACTCATAATACACATGAACGTGCTGTCTCTTTTCATACTGATGCTGTAAAAACTACAACACATTCTTGTTTAAATCCATAACATTTTCCTTTTCCACATTACAAATCACGTCAATATCTGCAAATTGCTTTTAACTAAAATCAATGTGCTACACCATGCAACATTAAAATGAATGTTTAAGATAAATCTTAACACATAGGATAAGCTTGAGAAATAACCCAGAAAAATGTCCGTAAACATATATTGGCAAAGTAGTGCTAATGTGTCTAGCTGGTTCATTGGCTTCTGGGATAACTCATGCTGGAAGATAGTTTGTTATCATTAGTACAATCTAACCTAAAACATATCAATTTAATTCTGCATTTTTGGTTTTTGAATGCAGGATTACACTCCAATGGTAAATCTAGTTTGCTTGTTTAGGTATTACAGCGCATCCTAGGTTCTAGGAATGTTAGTGTATAAGTGTGTATCATCTTACCCTTAATCCTGTCATGTCAATAGCAATAGCTGGAATACCTTCTTCATTTCCCTTTGGGGCAACTTGGTCCAGCAAATGATAATAAGCTTTGGAGTCCTGCAACAGACCAAGAAATCAAAGGGGGGAAAAGTCACCTCTAAAGCCAGATTTTGCTTGCCAATACTTCCGATGAACAATGAGCAAGCATGCTTTGTTTTTATTACATCAACCATTTGATAACATAATTAAATTAATCAAGCTGAAAGCATTTAACAGTTTCCATTGTATGCCTTCTGGTTTGCATAGCTGTTTGTTTTATAAAGTAATTAAAACGTTAAATATGGAAAAGCTGGAAGCATTAGACAATACTGCATGTTGCATTTAGGAAAAAAGGATAGAATTGATTTAATATGAACATATTAAATTAGAGATATGAAAAATATACCTTTATAAGGCTGTAGAAGTCAGTCAGCTAAAGGTTTAGTAAAAGAACAGACAGAAGGAGGAAGCAGAAGTTTAAAGCAGAGTTTAAAGAAATGTTGAAATGGTCACAAAGTACAAAGTAAAATTTTCAAGGACAGACATTAAAGCTGACACAAGTTAACAAGCATTTTTTCAGGAAAAGGCTAGAACAAGACAAAGATTTCACAGGCTGTTTGCTTTCATCTTTATAAGGCATAGTGTTGGTTCCATGTGTACAAAAAAATAATCTCACGTCAGAAATCATCTTAAACATAAATACAGCCCTTCAAATAAAGATTCAGATTTAAAAAAGAAAAAAAGACCAAGAAATTGTTACTATTTAGATACATGGAAAAAGGCTCCAGGTGATATCCTGCAAACCTTTACTGCTGAGATTTGTCTTCATTGCACAAGTAATTCCACTGAAGTTTCCAGATTTCTACCCAAATGCTTCCTTGTAAGCATACATTCATTGTATAACATATGTATTTATAAAAGAGGCAAAGCTGATTAGAAGTAGTAAATAGTTACATAGGCTGAAATCCTGGCCCTGTTGAAGTCAATGTTTACTTTATATTTTCCAATACTGGTGTGACATAAATCATAGTTTAGATTTAATTAGCTACATTAGATAATTCTCCAGCCTGCCTATGTAAGGGTGAGGGTCCCACAGCCCTTCTCCAGGAAAAATATCTATTGAGTTAAAAAAAAAATCTATTGAGTTCAGTGGAAATGTTATGCATGAGGTGACTGCAGAATTGGGCTCAAAATCTTTCATATTTTCTTCCTACTCTTATTTGTTATTGGGTGGCTAGCCCAAGCCTCGGTCTGTGTTGCAATATCCAGACTGCTATTTTTCGCATGCTAATGCAAGCGCTGCCAACACAACTCTGTCTATCCCAGACTGGGAAGTTCACCTCCAGCTGCAGTGTAGACATACCCTAAAGCCCTAACCCTGGAAACACTCTACCCACATGGTTAACTTTAATCAAGTGAGTAGTCGTATTGAATTGAACGGGACTATTTACAAGCTTAAAGTTAAGCGCACACATACGTGCTTTCAGGATTGTGGCCTAAGCCATCACCTCCAGGTGAACAAGCTCAGTCCAGAGGAGAAAGCTGAAGCTTGGGGTTGTTATTTTTGCTGTAGCTGATCAGTGTTTCTCATACCTTGATGTCTGTGCTGAAGTTATTGATTTTGTTGCATCCAGCGTTCTCCAGGTGATAGTTAGCCCACCTCAGCAGCAGTTCCTCTGGGGATAATTTCATCAGATCCTCTAGACTCTCTCCTTCCCGCAGAAGGGCAATCAGAGCTGGGCAAGCACAAAATTGAAAGAAAAATAAACACCATGCACAGGAATATTTGTGCTCTTAATTTATCCTTCTTAACTTCCTTTACTGAGCAAGGGCCTGATCCTTCTCCCACCGAAGAAAATGGGGGAGATCAGTGTGTTTATATATTTGAGAGGCTCAAGTAAAGCGAAAGCTGTCCCTTGAGCCTACAGTTATTTTATTATTAAGGAATTAATTGGTTGTTAGAGATGTTACAGCCATTTTGCTCTGTTCTGGGCAGCGCGTTGTCTAACTGTAGCATCACAGAATTGTAAACCCCACTTCCTCCTTCCGTGCTCAAATAAAAAATGTTATTCTACTGGCAGATTTACATTTTGGCTTTTTAATTTTGTTTTTCTATTTCACATGCCATACATTCTCAAATGTGTTTGGTTTTCATTTTATGTTAAGGAGCTACATTTTACATAGACAAAAAATACAACACAATGTATTAGAGCATTGTTCATTCACAAGTGACACAGAATGCTTTCCAGCTTTTTGCACACTAAACATGCAAAGAAAAGTAACATCTGTAGCTTACAGTGTATTGTCTCATGCATGTAACCTCTACAGATGTTGCCGGGCAGCGGTGAAGCAGGGTACAGAGACTAAGTTTCAGGAAGAATGAAGAGCATCAGTATGGAGAGCAAGGCAGTTTAGAAAGTAAGGTATGAATATTCCAGAAATTCCCGGCTGTGGTTTATGGATCACTGGTAGTCTCTGGAGCAATGGCTGGTGATTTACAGAGCTGGCTGGTCACCTGGGGCTGGCTCCCTCCTTTGTTTCCAGCTGTTTCTACAGGTGGCCAGGTTCTTCATTGCAAGGAGAGCCTGGAGGCCTTTAAAAACAGCTGGGAACAAGGAAGAAGAGTGAGCTTTGCTGCCTCTTCTAAATACCATCACTATATAATAAGTGGAAGAGAGGAAAATGGAGCCATTCTCTGCAACTGGAGATACCAGTGGGACTGCCAGCCCTCAGCAGGACAGCAGTGTGGAGGGGAGAATGAAGAAGCCAAGCAATATGTTCAGGGGAGACGGCAGAGGCGGTGATGGTACAGGTTATAAGAAGTGCTGGTGACTGGGTATCAAATCCAGGGGAGAAGGGAAAGAAGCAGCAGGAAAATATATGGTTGGAGAGCAGTGTGCTTGTGTCATTTTTAAAAGAAGGGAGATTTGGCACTGGATTCTATGAAGAACAGGAAACCAGCAGGGCTTCCTGACTGTAGCATGATGTGCTCCTGACCCCAGGTGTAGGTAAGGAGACAAGGATACACATTTTGGTTGGACTGAAAGTTTGGGGCCTCTGGGCTTATGGAGACTAGAACTGGGTGAATCAGAGTAGTGAAGAAGAGAGGCAATGAAGACTTGACTAAGGGCAGGTCTACACAATGGGGCTAAGTCAACCAAAGTTACACAATTCCAGCTACTTGAATAATGTAGCTGGAGTCAACGTACCTTAGGTTGAGTTATTGCAGTGTCTACACTGCGCTGGATCCACGGGAGAAACTCTCCCGTTGACTTACCTTATGCTTCTCGTTCCGGTGGTGTACCGGAGTCGACGGGAGAGTGATCGGCGGTCAATTTAGCGGGTCTTCACTAGACCCACTAAATCAACCCCCAGTGGATCGATCACCGTGCGTCAATTCCTCCAGTAAGTGGAGACAAGCCCTAAGAGTCCACAGGACTCCTTGAAATAACACTTCTAAAGATGAGAGCACTGGTTTGAGAGAGTGTACCGCATGTACCTTCATTTCTGCTGAGCTCAATGTCGGCAAACAAGCCAATTTTGATAACTTGCCATAAGAGGCCCAAGACCAGGTAAGGTTTCCCTTCTTTTAAGTCTTCAGCCCCAATGTTAACAACATGGCACCCGATGGCTGAGGCAGAGTTCAAAGCAAGGTTCAAATTTTCCTGAAAAGAGAGAGAGAGAGAGAGAGAGAGAGAGAGAGAAGTAGGTTTCTTATTATGCAATAAGTAAATAGTGGAGGGGAGGGAGGAGGAGAACTAAAGAGGGGGTGGGGAACTCAGTGGAAATATAGTGAGCAAAATTAGGTATAACCCTTTTCAGATCAGGGCCTAGGGTGTGATAGCTTAGAACTCCCAGGAGTAAAAGCAAGTCCTGTGCCCTTCTGCAGCACAGGGAACCTCTCCTTTGCAAAATTAAAAAGCTTCCATTTCTTGTCCTGAAGTGTTACAAGACATTGGACCTTAAGTCCCTCACTTGTCCTTGTCTGGATATTGCTCATTCTGGTGTTTACACTGCTGGAATATGGGATGAGAGAGAAAATCCATATTTTGAGGAGTGTGGGGTGGAAAGAAGGAGCTTCAATATATCAAGGTGGTGGGATGGAAAGAAGAAACATTTCGGGCAGGTGGCTTTTTTTTTTCTTTTTTTTTTCAAAAGGGCAGTTTGAATCTGCTCAAAGGCTTGGGTTGTTCGAATAAGCCCCTGGGGAGATGGACTAGTGGGCAGAGGGCAGGTGAGGCAGGCAAAGGTGCATGACAAATGCCATTTGTTTCCTGGCTCTGCAATTTATCACATGGATTTCACCACCGTGAGTGTGAGGGGTACATTCGATTAGGTAGAAAATACACAGGGACACAAAGCGTAAATTGTCATAAAATGAAAAATTTATAGCATTGAAAAATAATCACCCTCTCTTTATTTGACAGTTGTAAAAGGGTTAAGTTAAAGCATAAGCTATATTGATTAAATCATGTCTAAATCTGACAGGGATTGATCTGTGCTGCATCAATAAGACCAAGAGGATTAAAACTGGAAAAAATGTGGACTGCAGCACAGAAACCAAATTTAATGGCTTCTAAGCTTAGTTGAGCCTGGCTAATGTTCCATTTAATCAGAGTAACTGAAGGCTACAGTGGGTTATGTGTACATATATAGTAGGGGGGGGGGGAGAGGAGGATAGCTCAGTGGTTTGCACATTGGCCTGCTAAACCCAGGGTTGTGAGTTCTAATCCTTGAGGGGGCCACTTAGGGATCTGGGGCAAAATCAGTACTTGGTCCTGCTAGTGAAGGCAGGGGGCTGGACTCAATGACCTTTCAAGGTCTCTTCCAGTTCTAGGAGATAGAATATCTCCATATATTATTAGATATTTATTTATATCCTGGTACAGAGGTACATATATACTGTATCAATGTATCTCTACATATTATTGTAAAGGAAATAGAATAAACCTGAATTTAGATCTTGGCAGGTAGAATTTTATTTTCCAGAATTTCATCTTTAAAAAATGAAGGTGTGCACACATGCACGCAATGTATTTTTTACAAAATGAATCCAACACGCTGGTTGAACAGATAAAAATCACAAAAGAAAATGCAAATGCTAAGGGCCCAACAACATTAACTCAGCCATCTTTCACATATGTGGTATTTTCTAGAGCAAGGATGACCTTTTGATTAAGGCACTGGACTGGAACTCAGGAGATGTGGGTTCCGTTTCTGGCTCTGCCACAGAATTCCTGTGTGACCATGGGCAAGTCACTTAATCACAGTGCTCAGGTGTCATTTACTCAGGGGTGGAAGTGGGCTGGTACAGGCCGGTATGGTGTACCGGTAAAAAGTGGCCGCCAGTACTGGCCTGGACGCAGCCGACATTAAAGCGCTGCCACGGCAGCACTTTAACATCGTTGCCCCTTTTGCGCCTCCCCCCCCCCCGGCTGATGACGGGGGGGCAAAAGAGGCACCTACCCCAGGGCCAGTGATTTAAAAGGGCCCGGGTCTCCTGGCCACCGCCGCTGCTACCGCGGCAGCAGCCAGAGCCCCGGATGCATTAAATCGCCACCAGAGCCCGGGGCGATGCAGGCCAAGCAGCGCGGATGGGCTGGCTAGGGGAAGCTGACCCCAGCCCCGCCCCTTCCTCCCAAGGCCCTGCCCCTTCCAGTCCCCTGTACCAGTAAGTGTTTAATGTTACTTCCACCCCTGCATTTAGTATTCTAGCGGTTAACCCATATTTGAATTTGTCATTGTCTTCATCTCATCTTTAGTATTCATTAGGGACCTAAATATACCTTGCTTAATTATAAGCACATGAGTAGTCCCATTGACTTCAATGGGATCATTCTCAAGTTCAAAATTAAGCGTGGATATAAATCTTTGCAGAATTGCAGCTCAAGTACCCTACTTTGCCACAAACTGTGTCTGGCTGCATTGTGCAGGGCCATGAAATTTATAGCATTATACCTAATTACATAACAGAGACTCAGCATTTATACTTGATGTTTCAGTACCTGTATAGTGAATGGAGTGAGCTTCTTTTTGTTGATTGTTCTTTCATCAATTGTATCTGGCACTGAAAAGTTGATCATTTTACTGTAAATTAAAGAATAAACGCAAGTGAGAAATATGTCACTTTGCCTACACCAAAGTCATTTTGAACCTTCATCATAAAATCATAGAATGATAGGAGTGAAAGGTACCTGAAGAGCTCATCTAGTCCAGTCCCCTGCACTCATGGCCCGCGCCGCTTCCAGCAGCTCCCATTGGCACAGAGCAGCGAACTGCAGCCAGTGGGTACCGCGATCGGCTGAACCTGCGGACATGGCAGGTACACAAACCAGCCCGGCCCTCTAGGGGCTTTCCCTGCACAAGCAGCGGAACAAGTTTGGGAACCACTGATCTAGACCATCCCTGACAGGTGTTTATCCAACCTGCTCTTAAAAATCTCCAATGATGGAGGTTCCACAACCTTCCTGGGCAATTTATTCCAGTGCTTAACTATCCTGACAGCTAGACATTATTCCTGATGTCCAACCTAAACCTCCCTTGCTGCAATTTAAGCCCATTGCTTCTTGTCCTATCCTCAGAGATTAAGGAGAACAATTTTTCTCCTTCTTCCTTGTAACAATTTTTTATGTACTTGAAAACTTTTATGTCTCCTCTCAGTCTTCTCTTCTCCAGACTAAACAAACCCAATTTTTCAGTCTTCCTTCATAGTTCATGTTTTCAAGACCTTTAATCATTTTTGTTGCTCTTCTCTGGACTTTCTCCAATTTGTCCACATCTTTCCTGAAATGTGCCACCCAGAACTGGACACAATTCGCCAGTTGAGACCTAATCAGTGCAGAGTGTGACATGTTGATCAGATATCCAGAAACTGAATTGACACAAGAACTTTCTTAGTGCATTAGAAAGTCCAGGAACACTGTAGAGAGAGAGAGAGAGAGAGAGAGAGAGAGAGAGAGAGAGACTCTCTCTCTCTTCTTTCTTCTCTCTCTCTCACACACACACACACACACACACACACACACACACACACACACACACACACACAC